CTCCTTCCTGCTGAATAACTGTCAGTCCTCCCATTAAATTGTGTTGGCAAAAAAAAATGTTTTGGTTAAAATATATATATTTATTTTCTGTGAAATAGTAACTGAAAATATATATTTTTTATTTTACTTGCTGTATAATTTAATCATCACCTATCCCAACGTAATGAAATAGGTTTTTTATCAATCCACTGAGATGCAGACGATTATTCAGATGCAACATCTATTTTCAGAAGCTCATATGCAAACTAATCAGAAAATAATGTGCAATTTATGCCTTTCTACACTTCAAAATTCAGTTTCTGACCTCTGATCTTTCCTTCTCCACTCTCTTTGCAGGATTTAAGTAAAGTAGCCTTCAGGTTCAAGGATAAGGAGCGACCGCGCGGCTACACCTCCAAAGTGGCAGGCTTATTGCATGTAGGTCCCTTCTCCACACGCAAAGCTTGTTTCTAGGGAGACTTGAGGAAGGTCATCGAGGCTGTACTGGCTGATGTCCTCTGCCTGCTGGCTCTGAGTTTTTAGCTTTTTTCTAGAGTTAGAGCAGAGGTCTGTAACTGGAGGCTTTTAGGAGCTTTGCAAAAGAATTTAGCAGTTTTTAAAAGATACTTGACTGTTTTTCCTGGTTATTGTTATTGCATATATGCATAATATTTCCTCAGGGAATGATACCAATAGTCTAGACTACATGTTTTATTTTAATTAACTAATTTATCCCTCTGTTTTTTTTGTTTTTTTTTTGCCAATCATTGAAATTTTGTGAAGCTGATAATAAAAAAGCTTTAGTTCAAAGCTGAAACTAATTTTCAATAGTAGTAATTAAAGAATAAAAGCTGTAGGTTTAAAGTGACATCTTGCTTTTGTGACTCTAAACAAAGCTAGTTTACTAGGATTGAGGACAAAAATGGTTCTCAGGGTTGCACAGGTTGCTGACCCCTAAGCTTGTCTACAGCAGGGTCAGAATAAGGAAAGCAATTTTTAAACACCCCTGTCTGATTATTCCAGCTGACAGAATCAAGTATTTATCACCTAAGGACAAGACGTATCCAATAATCCTATTAGGCTCTAACCCATAATGTCCAGTTTCCATGATCCATTATGACAAAACATAAAGAACAGATCTGTCTTAGTTTTTTTCTTTCCATAGTGGGGCTTGTTGTCCTCTGCTCATCCAGGACAGAATCCCAGGGGAAGAAGAAACTGTGGCTTTCTCTTATTTCTCCAGATGCAGATTGTATCTCTTTAACTAATGTGTTTGTGTTGCAGTATTACCCTCTTGAAGAAGTTCTTGCTGCAGAGTATCTCTTGGAGGACTTCAGACCAGATCTGATTGAGATGGTGCTTGATAAACTAAGACCAGAAAATGTCAGGTTGGTGTTACAAATCTTTTTCTGTTCACAGAGAGAAGATAAACAATGAGTTTTTTTTTTTTTTATTAGAAGTAGTTTGGAATCTAAGGAGTAAGTGATGCATTTGACAACTGGACAACAAAATACCAATTACTGATTAGAGATTATTTTAGTATCATATTATTTCCACCAGTTCTTACAACATAAACAATAAAAAAATGGCCATACACCTTGGTAGAGCAGCAGAAAATGGCATTTTTTTTTAAGTTTGGAAGGAGAAAAATGCTTGGCTTATCGAAATTCCAAAAAGTAAAATCTGGAAAGTGTGGTGTGCATTTGCATTCAGCTTCCTGGTGCAAAACCCTGGTGAGTAGCCTTTTGCATCAAACACAGCTTCAGAATGTTTTTTCACTCAGTGTAGCACATCAGCAGACCAAAACATAGAGGATGTTAACCATGTTAACCATAAAAAAAACCTCATACAAAAATACTCATTGAGAAGTAGAAACATGCTTCACTCATCAGATATTTTTATATGTAATAAAATAAAATGGAAAGTTTTCCTTCCACTGTTATGCTCTGTCCTGCTTTAGAAGAAATAATTATTTATTTGTCCCAATATTAGGATAAAAATCAGGTTTGTGGTTGGGAATAGATACTCCTGCAATCTCTATTTGCTTGCCTTTAATTTTCTATATTTATAAATACAAACAAACGTTTTCCAGGATGTTTTCTCAAGTATTCGTAGATGATGTTGTTGTTGTTTCTACCTCAGATTGAGCCTCCTTATCAGCTGATGTATTTAGGCATTGCTTCACAAAACCTATTTTTATTCTCTTTGCATTTTTTTTTATCTTGCCAATCTCAGTTGTTTCAGTTGAAACACTGCAGTCCCGGTGTTTACCAGTAGGTGGCATTAGTGTTAATATTTCACTACATTAGAATTGGAAAAGATCAGGATGGGGACAGTGGTTAAATCTGAGGACTTTTCCCTAAAATAAATCTCCTTTATGTATTATGTAAATGGTTAATCAGGCAGTTTTATTGGAAATGCGGACACAATGCATTTAACATTTGAGTTATTTAGCCAGAACCTTGTAGTAGAGAACATTAGAAGAAAATATCCTTAATAGCATTAGGAAATTGTTAGAAATTCAGCAAATATGTCTGGGAAAAATTTTTGACTAGGGACTGGATAATAAAACAGCAACATGTATCTGGATAGACCACTGATCAAAAGAACTCCAATCAAGAACCGCACTGCATTCTGGGGAATGTAGGCAGAGTAAAGGATTTGGCCTCTCATGCTTTGATGGCCAAACAAAACAAAATTTGGGGGTAGGAGTGACCTTGCCTTAAAGGTTGCACTTGAATAGGGTTATAGTTAAAAGGCATGCAAGGCAAGTTTATTTATATTGCACAATTCAGTATTAATAAATTTGAAGAAAAATAAAAGTAGAATAAAAGCAAATTGCAGAAAAAAAATACATGATCAAAGCTAACTAAACTAATCATACGTCAGTTAAAAGCTTAACTTCAATAGTTAAAGGGCAGCTCTAAACAAATGGGTTTTTAACTTTGACTTAAAAGAACTCAGGCTTTCAGAATTTTTAAAGTTTTTGTGGAATTTTGTTGAAAGTGGAGCACAGGAACTAAATGTTGCTCATCCATGTTTGGTTCTAGTTCTGGAAGATACAGAGTAGGCTGAACTGTAAGACTTGAGTGGTCGCAGAGGTTGAGGCACTGTTATTCACTGTAGTCCTGTTTATTGATTTTTTATGTTTTTTATAGCACTAGTGGCTGTTTTTCTTGGACAGTAGGCTGACGGGAAAGGAGGTATGAAAGAGGGGGGACATGCGGGAAAGAACCACAGGTCGGATTTGAACCTGGGTCGGCCGCGTCGAGGCCTAAGGCCTCCATACACTGGGCGTGTGCGCTAACCACCAAAGCATGACCAGTCCTGTTTATTTTACTGTGACAATATGGGCTCTCTTTCATCATTGCTCAGAGCTTGTCTGCATCATTGCAACTTGCGCGGACGAGGCCGCTAGTGGAGCTAGTTAACAGTTACCTTTAGTATATCTGCTTCTTTTGGATATGAGAACCAGTTGATTGCATCCAGTCATTAACTTGCAACACCTGCTCCTCCTAAAGGAGCTCGCGGTGACGAGTCTCGCTTGCATTTTGTCATTGACTCAGAAATCCCTCACACTGAGCATGCACGTAGCAACAATGGAGAGAAAAACTCCCTTTTACCAGGAAAAAAACTCCAGCAGAACCAGACTCGGTACGAGCAGCCACCTGCCGATCCCAAATAGAAGCAGATATACAGAAAGCAGAGATACAAAAGGTATCAGTTAACAGGCTCCACTAGCGACCTCGTCCATGAAGGTTGACATCCAGCAAACAAGCTCTAAGTCATGATGAAAAAGAGCATATATTGTTAGTCACACTAAAAGAAACAGGACTACACTGAAAAACAGGCCAAGCTCCAATAAGATGTCGATGGCAGCAGCACAGCTGTTATTATAATCCAGGATGGAGTCACAGTCGAACAGGAACAGACAAGATGACGCTACTATGAGAAAAAGCATAGAGAGCATAAAGTTAGAGGTTAAACTTACTAATATTGCTGAATGGAGGAATAGAGGTAGAAAGAGGAAAAGTGGTCCCTATGTGATCCAGCAGTCTAAACATATAGCAGCATAAATATAGCAAATAGCTCACAATAACCTAACTATTTTAGATGAGGTATAAGAAGGGTAGAGCCACAGCAGGGCCAAGGAGAACATCTATCTGGACAGAAAAGTAACTATGGACTTTTTTAAAAAGGTAAGTTTTAAGACTTTCCTTAAAGGCACACAGGGCTTCTGCCTCAGACTAAAATTAGTAGTTGGCTCTACAGCAGAGGAGCATAACTAAAAGATCCACTAGTAAACCTGCAGATTGAGATCGAAGTGCTCTGTTAGGGACATAAGGAACAATCAGACCCCTAGTACCGTAATCTAGACCCCTAGCTTCTCCTCATTGAGGTATGATCTGGTTTTGAAACATTTTGGATCAGCCGAAGCCTTTTAACTACAGTTTGTGGACTACCTGATAGTGAGAACAACAAAAGTCCAGCATTGAATTCACAAATGCATGGACTAGTTTCTCATTATCACATCTGAACAAAACATTTCTAACTTTGCAATATTTTGCGGATTAAAGAAACAACAGTAGTGCGCTGTATTTAGAGACACATCTTTGATATGTGATTTAAATGTAATTTAATAAGGTGCCGATTTAAAGGCTCTTCACTCTGTGAACAAATGCAGTTTACTCAAAGTTTTCTGATGGATAATTTTATTATTTTAACCGTTTCAGAGTTGCTGTGGTGTCAAAGTCATTCGAAGGGCAAACAGACCAGCAGGAGGAGTGGTACGGCACGCAGTACAAGCAGGAGGCCATTTCTGAAGACAGCATAAGGGTAAACACGCTGGGTTAAACTCCT